GGCAGGGTGAGCACTGGCAGTAGCCCCATGCTAGGCCTTCCCTCTGCTTCCTCTGTTCTCCACACTTGCTAAACCTTTCCTAGGTTTCTTTTCACTTCTAGAAGTCTCTGTACATCTCAGGTATTTTTCATTTTCTACTTCTTCCATCTGGGTCTCYTCCCTGAGTTCTCTAACCATCAGTGACCTTTCCCTACTCTGAACTCATGTGGCTCTTTGCTCCACAGACCCAGGGTCGCTTAATGGTTTGGGCACAGGTTGCTTGGGCTCATATTTAGATATTTCTCCTCTCTGTGTATGTGATCTTGGACAGATTGTCTAATTTTTTTTAATGCCTCAGTGTTTCCCTCTCTTAAAGGGGATGTATCCATAAGAATTCTGTTGCAGAGAACAGAATCTACTCTTGCGAATATAAACAGAAAGCCATAAATTACAGGGTATTACATAACGCAGAGAATATTTGAATTGCCACAGGAAAAAACTCGTAAAGTGAGCTTTCTGAAGAGTCCCATGGTGCTTGGCAGAAATAGACCACCATGGGAACTCCTGCCTCTTCTCTACTCAGAAAGTTATCTGCTGATTGCCAGGGTCAAAAAGAAGTGCAAGGGCTGCAACAGCCATACCCACCTTCTCCAATCCAAGTAATAAAATGCACATCTCATTCTGGCTTCTTGATACCCACAAAGTGTGGATATAGACACACCACATTGCTCTACAGATTTTCACATGCAGAGAGCAAAGTGTGGACTCTGCATCGCTTCCTCTTTCCAAACAGTGCTTCAGAGGAGCCAAATCTAAATCCCATCCAGTACCTTAGCTGCAAGGGAGTCTGGAAATGTAGTATTGGGGTTTCTGGCCTCTGCATGTCAGGGAGGCCCTGGTTGAGATGAATGTTGACTGCTAATCCACCATAAATAACACCTACATACAGATAATAGGTTTACCTACTCTATAGAATTGTTGAAGGTATACATGAAGTGATAAATATAAAGTACTTACAACAGTGCCTGACACAGGGAAACTCTCAATAAATAGAGCTMTTTTTTGGCCAGCTCCTAAGATAGTGATCTAGGGAAAGCCAAGCAGCCTTTGATAGATTCCCAAAAGTCCCACCTGCTAGTAAGTAACTTTAATGAAACTATTATCTAAGGAACACCTGTTCCCTGGTCAGAAAATTCAGGCAAAGAGTTTCTGCACATATCACATTTGATCATGTGCAAAAGACAGTTTGAGAATTATAATGAGTGCTCTGGTGGCTTTGCTGTWAAGAGACAAAGGGGAATGAAGGGAAGGAGGRGATGGGAATAGGAAAGGGCAGAATGAGTCAGACATAACTTTCCTATGTTCATATRTGAATATACAATCAGTATAATTTCATATCATGTACAACCACAAGAAGTTATCCGCCATGTATGWATAATATGTCAAAATAKACTCTACTGTCACGTATATCTAAAAAGAAGAAAAAGAAAGGAAATAAAAAGAGAGGATCCTGGTGAACTGGAATGTTACAGTTGTGTTCAWATTCYAATTCTGCCCCTAAGAACAGCAGTCTTCTTCCTGTGCTTTTTCTTATTCACTCTTCCATCATTTCTCTCCATTTGAATTTCAAAATTAGCCAGAGACAGCACAGAATTTCACCAGGTCCCCATGAAGAAAGCAAGGCTCACCTACTGCCATTGCCACCTCCCTATAGAGGTMGGCCCTCCCCAGCTCTCCAGAGCTCCTGAGCTCTTTCCAGGAGACTCTCTGTYCCCTTTACACCAGTTCCTATAACTGAAGGGCCAAAGAGGCTCAACCTCAAGGAAGAGACAGGTGGCTTTGGAGCAAAACTTGTAAGGCATTCTCCCCAGGGAGAGAAATTCCGAAAGTTGAGCTCACTCTTTCCTGCCATAAAGCACACTGAATGTTAACAGCTTGCTGCTGTCCAAGCTGGTGTTTTTTAAATTAAGTATTGTTAAATCCATACCATTTGGAATGATGCTTCAGACAGCCCTGACACTAGCTCTTGCTGCTGCTTTCATTTCACCTAATATATTGTGCGTGGAGCCGGGAACCAGGATTATGGCTGCAGCAGCTTCTGCTGCTGCTGCGGCTGCTGCTCCACAGACACTTGCAGACGGCTTTAATTTAGATACCTGAAGAGGAAAAAAGGAACCGGGCCAACGCCCTGCTCACATGCCATAAGGGGCCTTTCCCAGGCGGCCGTTAGTATGGGTCTAGATTACCTAGGGTTTTATGTTATTTTTCCCTTGGCACTGAAAAATGTCTCAGAAATGACAAACTTGGGAGACAGAGACGCTRTAGGCTAAAATAAGCTACTTTCCATCATCAGGTAATATATACTCACSGTAAAGCCTGGTAGGCTGCCTTCTACTCCTCTGCCTGTGCTGTTACCAGCCCCTTCCAACACACCTCCCTTTGGCCAGACAGCCAACACCTGAATCTGCATGTATGTACAAATATATAGATGTATATATGTGAATATGAGATCAGAGTGGTTGGAGTCAGAAGACCCTGGTACAAAGTCCAGTTTTAGCCAGTGAGGCCTTAGGTAAGTCTCTTCGCTGAGCCTCAGTTTCACATATATAAAAAGGCACTGGCACATAACCAACTGCATCAACTAGTCAAAAATGTCAAGCGAGATTGTACATGTAAAAATCATAAACCTTAACAATATCACATATACTTTGGAAAGTATCAAAATGAGCTCATCTTAAAAACATTCCCCATCACCCTTATCCAACTTGATTTGTTTCTCCTTTTTCTAGAGTTTTAAGTAAACTTAGAATTTTCCCGCACTGTGTTAACTCTGGACCTTTGCAACTGCTTTTGCAAGTTCCTCCAGATTTTCCCAACAGAAAAGATGATGTGGTGAGCAGAGAGACCAGAAGCATGTACTGGGGTCGGCCTCCTTTAGGTGTTCAACCAATGATGGAGGCCTTGACTTTAAAATAGTATATTATTTGAGGACTTCATTGAAGGGACCATCTTGCTATAAATTGGCATGCCYAGCAAAACTCAGAAGATGGTATTGATTTCCAAAGCAGAAGAATTTGGCATATATGTGACTACCAGTTATTTTCCGACCATGCCAATTTTTCCCCTCTACAAAAGATGCCTTATCATTAGCATGCTAATGYTACAATTCCTTCTCTTACATCTGACGCAAATGAACAGATAACATAGTCTCAGACTAAAAGTTCATTTCGGTCAAAATTTTTTTTTTTGCTATGATGAGGATTTCAGATAGCAATCCAGTATTTTCACGTCTACTTGTCAATACCCTTTAGCTTGTGAGAATTAGCTAGTTTTTGAGATTAGTAAAAATAATCTTTCTGAAAGGGAAAAGCCTATTTCAAAAATAGGACCTCTTTGTGTGTGTGTGTGTGAATCTGTACTATCATTTTCCTAGTTCAATATATTTGGTAGTGAGGAGAAAGGTGAATCCTTGATTGCCCTTGACTTTTGTGACAGGTTAACAGTGGGAGTTTTAAAGCTTCTCCCTTGTTAATTGATATACCATATGAAGTAAGTAGCTGAAGTTGAACAACCTGCTTTTCTCTACCTTTTCGCAAAGCAACACTGCAGGTATGTRTATTGGCAGACCTGCCTGTATTCACATGTCTGTGATGGCTAGATCAGGTTTTCCATATTTGTGTTTCAGACCTCTCATCAGTATTTTTTAATAATGAAAGGAAAGAACATTAACTGCCTTCTACCTCCACCACATGTATTTCTGGTCTATCAGATCTGTAAAGAAAAAYCTYCTGGTAATACACGATGAAAATGTATGGCTGGGTTTGCTATTTCATTCTCTCAAAACTCAATAATTTCCCTAGCAGATAAGGGGAAGTATGTCCTTATTTGACACTTAACACTTTCCTAAAACTAATAATCTCCTCCAGTAGGGTTGAACCTTGCTTGTTGGTAGATTAAGTGGCCTCTGAAGATTGCTGAGCTTCTCTTTGMTGCCTTGTCTCTTTGACGCACATAAGTACTTCCTCCAGGGCTAGGCTTCACCTCCGAGGTCAACCTGTCCAGCCCTCTGGCCCTCCTGGACTAGTGGTCAACAAAGGTTTCTCCTTTTCTGCAGTATAGCAGCTCGGAAAAAAAGGATGTGAGTCAGGTGAAGAGAAGACTGTAACTCTTGGTTAAAAGGTTTGGGGATTAATTGAGGATTTAATTCATCTTTTCTTTCCCTCCCCCTGGAAAGCAGATAGTTGAGAGTTGGCAAGGTGTCAAAACCAGGCAGTTTCTCAACCCCAAATTTCAGCCCCACTCAGTCTGGAGTCTTTGTTCAAGGCTTCTTTTAAACCAGGGGTTCTCAATTTCTAATTGTGCCTTTAGAATCAGTAAACCTTGGATGTTTCAAACTGTCACTTTACAAAGAAGCAACTTGTCCCGTCTCCCCACCATCAAGTCCTTAATACACAAAATAATTTATGCCACTGTTAGGGTTAGTGAGGAATTTTCATGAACTTCTACAGTATTCCTTTTTCTAGTCAAAGGGGAAAATAAAGAGGAACCTTACGAAGAAGAAGAAAGCAGTTGTCCAGAATATGTTTAAAGGGCACATTAAGTCAGTTTTTGWCTATGGTTCTCTCCCTTTTATGGCATATGTTATATATTGACAGGGATTAAGTTTCTCTCCTGAATGGAACAATACACGGACACAGGGAGCTACTGTACTTTACAAAGCAGCAGACATCAGCACAGGCAAATGGCAAACAGAAACACATCTCACAGAGAACTGACCAGGTTAGGGAAAAGCCCAGTGCTTTGCTTCGTCTTGTGTACTTCTGCACCTCTGGCATTTCTCTTCTTGCTCTGCCGCTYGCTCTCCTTTCTTTTTCGTCCTTTTCCCCCTTTTTTACTCACACTGTTACACTTTCTCTGTCCCCCTGGCTTTGTTATTCAGCATGTCTGATTAGCAGGAGCCTGATTGGCTGGCTGCCTGCTCCGAGAGAGATTCCATTCAGCTTACCCCCCACCCATCCACCCACCCACCCCTCGGTCAGGAAATGTGAGCGGGGCTGATGGAAGCTGATAGGCAGGGCTGGAGTGTTAGCACCAGGACTGGATGTGACAGCAGGCAGAAGAGCACTTAGCAGCTTATTCAGTGTCCGATTCAGATTCCGGCAAGGATCCAAGCATGGAATGCTGCCGTCGGGCAACTCCTGGCATACCGCTCCTCCTTCTGGCTTTCCTGCTCCTGGTAAATGCCTTTTCATTTCAATATGTTGCTATAGCCATTTAGTCTGGGTGCTGTTGGGGTGGTGTGTGTGTGTGTGTGTGTGTGTGTGTGTGTGTGTGTGTTCATCTTTAAACTCCAGGTAAAATAATTTACATGATAGAAAAAGTACCCCAACTCCTTCCAAAACTTTAATTCCAACTTCCCAAGCTGAATAAAGTCTACAAAACTTACAGGAATTAGTTACAGGTATATCATAATATTGTTACTGAGACACAAACTTTGGGATATACTGCATAGAATCTGTGAGCTGAGGACTATATAAATGTTTGGAATTTGGATAATAGATGTCCTGAAATCAAACTCACTCACTGTGCTGTTCCTGGAATTTTTTGAAGGATAGGCTGTGAGGGGCTTCCCTCCAATGCCTTCTACGGATTATTTTTCCTCTGCACACATGTACTAGGGAACCAGGTGAAAGAGGGAATGAGAGCCCTCTGTGCAGCCAACCCAGATTAGAGCTCTTAATTACTGCACATTATTTATGGATAAAAGTTAATCCAAGTATCTATGAATTGAGGATTATAGCCTTTGATCTCAGATCTTCTTTTGAAGAAGAAAAAAATGATGACTTTCTGTACGGTTAATTTCTACAGTCAATAGTGATAAGATGCTCTGTTCTCGAACATCAGCACATACTACATTTTTGACTCAAAGTAAATGTTCCGTTGTGACTCATACTTGGTTTTATGGGCAGAAAATGAACATTTACTGTCCAAAAACAATCTACACTCAAAATATTAATAGCAATGCACATTTTTTTAAAACCAGAGTGTTCTGGGCAGGCAGTTTAGTAAACCTCATCTGAAGGTTGGATTCCAAAATTTGCACACACTGATTCCAAACAAACGTGATTGTAGCTCTCCTTGTCACATTTATGACATGCCAGAACTTCCTCAGATGGTAACAAGGCAAGAAGGGAACAAGGTAAAAATGCAACCAGAATATAGGTTGTATTGCTTCATTGATGGGGAAGGAATATTTTGTTCTGCTTTGAGTCTGACAAATTTGATCTGCACTATAATTTTGAGGAAAGGAAGCAAGCCATTTGGTAAGATTGAAAAGGTCTAGGAAGATTCATCAGATAGAGTAGTAGACAGACAGTGTTTAAATATTTTATGCATTCCTGTATCTTAATAATTTGTATCATTGTAGCTAAAAATTATAATGCTGCCTTGTAAATCGGAATATATTTTCAGTTTTTTGTAGAAACTTAAAGGCAAGTGAAAGTTTAAGCATGAGTAGACTATAAGTTTTAGCAGTACTGAAGAATATAAAGAGCAGAATGTTTAGGTGTGCTTTATGTCTTGTAAAGCAAGCAATTTATAAAAGGTGTCTCATTTTTTCCATATGGGATGTGTTACTTATATACATCATTAGTTTGTCTCGTCTTTCCTTCTTTGTGATTTTTTTAAAGTGTGTGTTATTTCCCCAGTAAATTGCATCATAAAGCAAATTACCAGTACACATTACTTTTTTTGATATTTTCATATGGAAGTATGATCTCATTATACTTGAGTAATACTAGCCTACACAGGAATAGATTGTTTTTCTACCCATTTGGTAAATGCATTATATTCCTCTTTGATATCTTAAATTCATATATGTATTTGAGCATATAATTAGACTTACTTGGAAAAAAGGAGTGTTTGCTTATTTCAGAAGGACTTAACACATGTTTGGATTACAATAATTGCATTATGAAGTTGAAATGAAATCAAACCCAGGTTTGTTTTAGGCCTGTGTTTAAATGAATTGCGAATCTAAAAGTTATGCCAGGAAAAAAAAAAAAAAAAAAAACAAGAAGTAGCTGTTGAGTGCCTAGATACATCCCATGCAGAGCAAGAACAGCATTAATAAGAGCTGTCATGTGTTGTGTCTAAAGGTGGCAAACACTAGACTTGTTGTTTGAAAAACATTTCAGTGAACCCTCACAATAATCATGTAAAGAAAGTACTTTCAAACCCATCCTATAGATAAGGCAACCAGCTTATATTTGAACCCAAAGGTCAAAGAATGGGGAGAACATAAATTGTTTGCTTTGCACTATGGTCGTAAAAATGTCTGGCAATGATGGAAGCAATGATGAGGCTTGGTCTGCACTCTTTGTTGGAGACAGGCAGTCTTTTTGCATCATCTTGGCCGTTAAAGAGATGTACAGTGTGGTGGATAACTTGTTATACTTGCTCATTAACTGCCTCTGTTAGGTTTACAGCCAAAATTAATTATTGGCTTAAGAGAAAGTGAACTTTAGCCTGACCTGTAGTTGACTTAGAACTAGAAGTGTGACTTTGTCAGCTCAACCTTCAGACTTGATAAAGATACTGAATCGGAGGACCTGTTTTTTCCTATGATTCTTTTACATAACAGAAGAGTCTGTCTACTCTTAAATTAATTTAAGCAATTTCTAAATGTCTTTTTAACTTAATTGGAAAACATCTCTCTGTCTAATGGCAGGTCCAATTGTTACCACATCAAAATAGCCTTCATTTCATTGACAGTTAAATTATATGTCTCATGACTCGGTTCCTCAGCGTGTACACATGAATAGTATTGAGCCTCGGTTTTGACAAAATCCTTTTTCCCAGCACACTATTCCCTAGAGAATGAGGTCCCAATGCCTTTCGTGTCTATTTTCGATCACCACCGTACTTTCATGCGCAGTGTGCCCGCTGGAGACTTCTTTTTAACTCTGGACACAGTTGGACACTAGTATCAAACAAGAGATTTCATTTTGATATTCAGGTCAAATTAAGCCACATAATATGACTTTCCCAATCTTCTCCACCCTGTTCCCCCTTTTCATTCTCTCTCCTTTGTCTCAATTGTTTAGCTCAAAAGAAATGTGGCAAAAACCATGACCGGCCATTGACATATGTGTCCATCTACACTTGAAGTCAAATCACTTCTTGTCAGAAAGGCATTTAATCAAATTTGCATTTGCTTTTTGTTTCTTTTCAGTGGTTTTTTAAGCTCTTTTGCCTGCTATTGTGAGAGTTGCAAGAGTAACACTAGGAATTATAATAAAGTACATGTGTTTTGCTGTTGAATTTCTTTTTCTTCTCTGTACTAATTTATACATGGAAACTAGTCAAACACAATAGCCCGTTCCCTTCAATTCCTCTGGCACTGTCTTCCACTATTATCTAAGTGAATCTATCTTGGATGGCGAGAAGCTCCATTAGCTTGTGGAATGAATGTTAAATCCCTTAKTTACAGCAGATTGTGGCCTGTTCCAACAATGAGAGAGTGTGTGTGAGCGCACGCCTGTGTGCACAAGCACCTCTATAACTGTTCACTCCATTTCTTATTCTCCACCTATGCTGTCTTTAAATCAAACTTAAAGCATTTCTTGTCCATCAGTGGAGCACAGCAGCATTTATTTAAAAGTGATTTTCTTGATGTTTTCGTGAAGTTTTTTGTCATTTATCGTCATGGTTATTTTCTTGGGCTACTGTTTTTAGTTTCAGTCTGCTCAGGACCACTTCCTGGCTCCCTTACTATTTTCATGTGAACCAGTTCTGTCCCTTCATATAAGATGAGGGAAGAATGTCCAATAGTGGTCACTAGTGAACCACAGAAGAGGCCTGTTACACTGGGGAAGTTTTCCTTGTRTGATTCTATGGACAGTGAAGACTTTTAAGAGAGAGAATGAATAAAGGAATGCATATGTTTGTGCTTTTATAAGATTCTTAGTCCATGTTCATGCCCCAAGTGGAATTAGGGAAGAAGGGATGCCCTTACACACCCTGGGGTAGGCTCTTGCTCTAATCAGGAGTGACACAAAGTTCATTCTTACAGCTTCGTATCAAAATTAAAGTCAGAGTTTGTGGAATTTTTTTCTTATCAGTGAAGTGTACAAGCTACTCATTTGTAAAACTCCGTTTATTTTAGCATGTTTTTGCATAAGAATTATATCAGATGCGACATGGCCTGGTATTTAGGTCTTCTTCTTTTTGTGACTTTATCAAAATATAATTTCAAACTCTTACAGGAAAATATAGTGTCTTGTGAACTTCTGCATTTCCTGTGGCACCTAGTAGAATGCCTTTATATTTTAGGCAGCAGAAACACTTGTGAACATTTTGAAGAAAGGAAAGGTCTTATAGGGAGAGCACATGGTGCCCTCACTCTTCCCATTTTTCCATGTTTTCAGACTTCATTTGTTTAGACCACTTTCCTCAGTCAAATGACAGTTCTGCTTTTAATTTGTGTGTCTTTCAAGTTCCAGGAACATCACTTTCTCAGGTTCAATTATCTAAGTTTCATCCTTCCCTTTCTCTACTGTTTCTGTGGTCTCATGAGTAGGGTGACCTAGGAGTGACCTCTTCTAGTGTGGGGACTCAAGTCTTTTCTTGAGTGAGAGCATTGCTTGAATTCTCATGAATAACCTACTAGTTAAGTGTGCTGAGATAATCACAGGAAAATGTTTCTAAATCGAGTTTTACAGTCTTGCCGTTGTTACTAATTTTCTTCTTCTAGAGGGCTGGCTTCAAACTGTGTTTTCACCAGAATGAGACAAATTCATGTCATTTTCTGTCTACATCATAAAAATCATACCATGTGGTTGAATTTTGGCTTGATTGGCAGTACTGGCTCATGAGCGGCTTAGGACTGGCATACCAAAGGTGATGTAAGTCCTRAAGGATCCTAATTGAATAGGCCAGCACAGCTGTGTGGGGAGCCTGCCTGCTAACTGGGGTGAGCTGTTGCTATCAACCCCTTCTTTCCATGAGCTCAAATATAAATGACTAAATCTCCCCCAATTCCCGAACTTCAAGATTAAAACCTACATAGAATAAAGCCTAACTGTTCTGCTTTGCTGGGGCACCCAGCATGGAAGGCAGTTAGTAAAAAGTTTTCTGACCATGAAGAAGATAACCCTGAGAGATATACTCTTAGCCTGCAGCCAACAGTGGCCTCTGGCTTTTCACATGTTTGATTTCCAAGAAGCTCAGAATTTA